AGAGTCTGTGTGTGTGTGTGTGTGTGTGTGTATGTGTGTGTGTGTGTGTGTGTGTGTGTGTGTCAGGGTGGAAGAGGCAGGGAGTGTTAAGGGACAAACAGGATTTCAGTCTAAGGCTCACCATAGCTTTTCTTACTTTTATTTATTTTTGAGACAGGGTCTCATGTAGCCCAGGCTAGCCTCCAACTCACTATGTAATCAAGGATGAACTTGAACTTCTGATTCTCATGCCTCTACTTCCCAAGGGGTAGGATTACAGACATTCTTCACCATGCCCAGAGAGGTCTCCTTATGTAGCCCAGGCTGGTCTATATCCCCAGCTCTTCTGCAGTCTTTTAGAAGCCCTGAACAGGGTTAGAGAGATGGCTCAGTAGTTAAGAGCACTGGCTGCTCTTTCAGAGGACCAGATTCCAGCACCCACATGGCAGCTAAAACTCTGTAACTCCAGGTCCAGGGGACCCAACACCTTCTTCTGACCTCCATGGGCATTGCACAACATGCGTGCATTTACATACACGAAGGCAAAACAATCATACATATGAAATAAATATATCTGTGAGACCTGAAGCTTGGTGACCCTGGGCTGCCCACTCACCCAGTTTGGACTCGTTTCCCCCAAGGTAAAAGGCTAAGGTTGAAGCTGTGTGTGATGCACGTGCCTGCAATCTCAGAAACAGGAGCTGCAGTCCTCAGGAGGATCAAGAGTTGAAGGCTAGGTTCGGCTAGATAAGGAGCTGAAGATGAACCTGGGCTTGATGAAACCCTGTCTCAGAAAATCAGGGTAGGGGCCGGTATATAGCTCAGTTGACAGAGTGCTTGCTAGCATGTGCAAAGCTCTGGATTCCATCTCCAGCACTGCATAATACTGGATAAGGTGGTACATACTTGTAATCTCAGCACTTGGGAAGTAGATACAGGAGGATCAGGATTTAAGGGTCATCCTCAGCTACATAGCAAGGTTGAGGCCAACCTGGGCTATATGAGACCTTGTCTCAAAACAAAAAATTAAAAGGAAAAAACAGGAAAAAAAGTAGTCAAAGGTTGAAGTGAATGACCTTTAAAGCCTTCTGTTTGGTAGATTTTAATCTGTGCCCTATATGGGCTGGGTTCTATCAGGAAACAGATGGTGCTGCAGTCCTGAAGGGCAATTGAGAATGTTTACAAAGGTGTGGGCAACCTTAGAGGGACCAGGGAAAAGGGGTGACCTAGGGCTGGCAGGAGTCCCAGAACGATGTGGGGAAGGGTGTGTAAACAGTAGTCACAGGTTGAGGACCAGGATCTATCAGGAAGATGGAGGGACAGAGCCCCTGAGAAAGCCAGTGGGACACGAAGTCCACCTCTTTCCTCTTGCCCTGTGGTCACTGGCTGTGCCTAACCAGAGGCCAAGAATGGGTTTAATTTTTTTTTCTTTCTTTTTGAGACCCTATGTTGGGATTATAGGCATGTACGACCATGCCTAATTTATGTGGTGCATGTTAGACAAGCATGCTACAGACTGAGCTACATCTCCAGCCCTTGTTAGTTCTTTTGTTTTGTTTTGTTTTGTTTTGTTTTGTTTGTTTGTTTGTTTGTTTTTGGTCTTTTTGAGACAGGGTCTCCCTATAGCCCCAGCTGTGCTGGAACTTGCTATGTAGACCAGGCTGGCCTTGAACTCACAGAGATCCACCTGCCTCTGCCTCCTGAGTGCTGGAGTTAAAGGCATGCATCACCATGCCCTGCAGTTCTTTGTCATTGAGAAAGAGTTTCACTGTGTAGCTCTGGCTACACTGGAACTCGCTATGTAGACTAGGCTGGCCTCGATCTCACAAGATCTGCTTGCCTCTGCCTTCTGAGTGCTGGGATTGGATGAGCAAGAAGCTCAGTCCTTCCTCCTTCCTCATCTATTCCCTCTCTCTT